TTTGCCTGAATTGCTTAGTCTTTCCTTGGTCCTCCCCTCAGCCCTGGGCTGCATCGCGTGCTGGTGGCCTGGGAGTGCATTTGCTTAGCCAGTGTGTGACCGAGTGCTGGCATCCAGCAGAGCCCTGCCGAGACAGCAGCACTGCAGAGCTGGACCTGGTTACCTTCTCTTAGCCACCCTTGATTGATATTTAGAAATCTGCTTTTGTTGCCAAGAGATTTACTACTATAATGATACAAATATTTCTAGCAAACAGACCAAGAGCTGTTGGGTTTGCTTCTGTTGCTGCTTGTTTATGGATGGAAGATGCCAGGATTGAAGTTTAACTGTGAGAAATAATGTGGCAGTCCTGCAGTTGTTTGGATCTGGAGTCATTCCTTGCATTTATTTCTTCCAGTTGGAGTTTGTTGGATTTATCTGTGTCTGGAGGTCAGCAAGTGACTGGGTGACTATGGTGGCCTCTGAGCAGTGTGTTTTTGTGGCACCACTTGTGCATTGTGGGGCTGAAACTCGGCCACCTCAGTGGTTGCTCAGTGGTGGTGGGGTCAGCTGGATGCCTACCCTTTCCCAAAATAAGCATGATACTGGGATTTTAGTAGTTTGTTTTGTACTAAAGTGCCCATTTGTAATGTTTAACACCTCTTCCCTCTGTTGAAGTAGTTAAGGAGATGACCAGCCCTGAGTTATTATTTCATAATAATCGGTTTATAAAACTTGGGTTTGTGAGTTTATGGCTTACTTGTGTTATTTATTTCCAGAATAGACCTGTCTGCAGATCACCAGCTGATGAACATCCTTTTGGCCATTTCTTAATTTTCTAATTACATGTTATATAGGCAAACTGTGGTAGTTAATGGGGCTGCTGGTCTAAATTCACCTCCAGAATCACCAAAGATTTAAGAACCGGTTAAAAAAAAAGAAAAGAGGGTAAGGGGTTGTTTGGAGAGTGGGGGTGGAGCACAGACTCTCTGTGATTTGCTGTTGTGCACTTCAAAGTTTTATGGCCCATGGTGCATCCCTTGGGAGGATAAAGTGCAAGGAGCATGAAGAAACCCATAAAATGACGAAGGGTTTATGTGGTATAATTAATGTGGAACTTTCCATGAACTTTATAATACTTTCTTAATTCTATATGAGTTTCTGGTTTGCTAATAAGTAATCTTTAAGATTGCTAGTGGAACTTAAATTTTGCATTTTCATCCTGAATTATAAGAGGACACATTGTAGGCTGCTATATTTTAGTCTGTAGCTTCCTTACTTGAGTTCTCAGCTGTGGCTGTGCCTGCCTTGGGAAACATTTTTGAGCTGTGGCCAGCTCTGCACTAAAAACCCCCGTGTTGATAGAGCTTTACTGGCAAATCCTTCCCATGCCAGTGTGGCTCTGCTTGCACAGACATTTTTTATTGACACTGGATGGATTTGCAGATCTTGGTGTTGTTAGTCGCACCCGTGGCAAAAATAAATGAGGAGAAAGTTCAAGTAAAAATCTGGATTTGCACAGTAAAACCAAATCAGTGCTGGGATGTTGCAGCTCCTGCTTTTAGCTACTGAGGAAATTTTAGTTGGGGATAAATGGGGGAGTTTGCCCGCTGGGTGCTCTGCCTGTGCTGCTGGATGAGCAGGGCTGCAGAGCAATGGGGACCCTTGTTCCTCTGCCTTCACAGGAGCCCCCATGGTGGTGGATGGGTTTGTCAGCTGCACTAGCAGTGGCAGGTTTCATTCAAGCAAGGATAGCGTTGGGTAGTGGGGAGGGGGCATTGCTCCACCTCCCTAAAAATGTCATGGTGCTATTTGTGGGGGACAGGAAGGTGGTGGTTCATTTGGAAGAACAGGAACTCTTGTTCCACCAGTACCCTCAGGGCTCCTGGGTGAGTAATCCTCTTCTCTCCTGTTTCCAGCTTCCCTGGACTTTCCTCCCTGTAGGAATACGTTGTGTAATTACAGAAGGCTGAGAATCAGCAAGGATGAAGGCAAATGTGTGTACATCGTTTGGGGCTATGGGTTCTTCACTCTCATAGCTGGTTGGCTAATTTCATCCTTTTCCAAGGTCAGACCTGGTTTAGAGGTCACTGGATTTAGGATTTGCATCCCATACTGTGGTGGTTGTGTTTATTCTGACCACACGGCTTGAGGAGTCCATAATGAAAAGCTGCTTGGATCGAGGCAGGAGGCCGTTGTTTTTCACATAGGGGATTTTTTTGGAGTGAGGAAATGCCATTGCTAAATGCAGAAAAGGGAGACATCCGTGAGATGTAGTCGTGTTACAGGATGGTGAGAATGACCTTCCATTGCTGTAATAACAGAAGGTGGGAGATGCTAACAACAGGAGTTGGAAGGTTTAGCGTCAGCAAGTTCTGACAACTTCTACCAAAACATTTTAAAGGGCTCTATTATCCATAGGCACTTTCTGGATTAGTAATACTGATAATTGATGACAATGGAAGAAAGTTAATAAAACGAGCTGAATAATTAGAGGTCTGCCAGCCCTGCAAAATAATGGAATGAGTGATAGAGGGCTTGACTGATACGGAGGTAAGGGGAAGTAATACAATTAATGTCAATTAAAATGTGCCCATGGAAAATAAGCTGATGAGATGTAACTGGGATGTAGTTTGGCTGATAAAAGCAATAATGTGTGCTGTAAAATACTTTGCGCCTTAATGAATTGAATGTAGAGCAATGCAGTGTTTTGAATGAGAAATGGAAATGGTGTAAAATGAATGCAGGGAGTGGGAAGTGAGTATTGGCTGCATTGGGAGGTGGATCTGGAAATGGCTGGGAGCTGCTGGCATGGCAGGCCTTTGGCATGGCTGGTCTTTGCCACAAGCAAGTTGTGTTTTTGTGGATAACCCCAGGTAGCACAGCTTGGGTGTCTGAGGCTTTGAGTGGCTCAAGTGCAGGAAAACAGTGGTGACAGTCATACGAGCAGAGCATTGCCTGGGTAAAGGATGTGCACAAAAAGCCCTGTAGAGCTGATACCTTTTGAGGCTACCTAGAACAGAGGCTAGACAGTGCTAAAGGATAAAGTAGATTTATTAAAAGGCCGTCAAAGGATTCACCTTGGGGGCAGTACCAGAGCCTGACCGAGGCTACACCCAAGATGGACCCCAGGTCACGAGTTTTCACACTTTTATAACTTTTGGTCCATTTACATATTGGGATTAATTGTCTGATTACAGCTTCAGGTTATGCAGTCCCATCCTCCTAGATTGCTCTCCTGAATTCGCTGTTGTTAACACGTTTTGAGCTGCAACAGTGTCCTTGGTTCTGGGGCTGGAAAAGGATTGTTTTGTGTGACTGAACTGTGAGGAGGACTTGCTAACACTTTATATGGAGTTCAGAGTTACATACTAATGCAGTACAGAATCTGGATAATATGAAAGCTAAAATTTAAGGCATCAGATTCATGGTCAAAAATACTCCATATCCAAATAAAAATCCTGGAATGGCATAATGGAGAGCACCCTCTCCCTGATTTCTTTAGCAGTCCAGCAGAAATCAATCCTGCCTGGCTGCTCCTTGCACAGTAGGAAGTTGGGAAGTGGCAGCCCTGTTGATTTAGTCTGACACAGGCGCACAATGGAGTTCCCAGTAACTCAGGGAGCGTGCAGGACTCATAAATTACAGAGCAGCTCACGTTTATCATACACATCGCTGCTTATCTTGTAAACTCATCTGCTGGGCTTGCACGAGCAGTTGATTTAACAGCATGTATATTGTTGAACTTGACACATCCAAGAGTCTAATCAAGCTTTAAGAATACCAGGGATGTCTGGCTGCTGGTGTGAAGTCTCTGCAATTCCTAAGTAATTTCTAAGAATGATCCTGGGCCAGACTCTGTTGGGTTCACTGCAGGTCACAGGGAATGTCTGTGTTGTACAGAATTGCAGAGGAGTATTACCATAGTGCTGGCATGTGTTTTATGATATAAAATGATTAGATGTGTAAAATTAAGTTAATGTCCTTTTTCTGTACATTTCCAACTGGGAAATGATTATAAATTAATTTTGTAGGGTAAAATGCCAGTGAGTAACTGTACTGCTTGTGTAGCACTGCCCAGGATCTGTCATGGGATGCATGAGGCTGGTGGAAGATGATAGAGATGTGGTGTGTTTGGAGGGAGATCTGATAAAGTTCTGCGTTGTGGGTGGTCTCTCTTATGCTGCTGCTTCGGTTCCCTTTCCTGTGTGGACTGATTTGGTTGATAAATATGCATTTCATGGGTGCTTTGATTCTTTTGATGGTGTTAGAGAAAGTGCTTCTGGTGTGGGAATGCAGGGCTTTTTGGGACTTAGGTGTTTTAAGAGGAATTGATGCACCTTCTACATGTTTAGCAGTAAAAAAGAATAATTTTGTATTTAGTATTTCTGCTTTTGAAACCCTTGGGCATGGTGAGATAGGAAAATTCCATCCCTCTTCCTCACTCTCATGCTGACAAACTACATTTACTTTCTGAGTTGTGAATGGAAATAGAAGTAACCTGGGTTTGATCAGGTATGGTGTGTTTTAGTTTTAAATGAACTAATAGACCTTGAGTTGCATTTCTGCTGCAGCTTGACAAAATTATAGCAGCTGCTGGGGCTCTGTGCTTATTTACTTGCAAATCCTGTCAAGTGTGAACTTCATTTATGACTTCCCTGGCAGGTCGTGCCGCTGTGGTCACAGCTTCTGCAGTGTTTTGTTGCTGTTGCTTGTAAAATTTGCCACTGAGGGAAATAATAAGCTAAAATAGGCACAGGTAAGCACACACAGGCTCCTTGTTCCCGAATACATTGAAGCTCTTCTAAAACTTTGCAACTGGAAAGAATTAAACTGTGTTTGTATTTCTGAAATAAAGCTGCAATTTCAACAGAAAGCTGTTATTTGTCTTATTGGCATGGCAAATTGCTCTTTTTGGACAGGGGAACTGGGGGGTTTCCAAGTCTTGTCATCATTTGAGTCTCCTGGTTGCAACCACCCATTCTCCTGTGTGTACATCATGTGTCTCCTCTTTTTCCTAGATGATCATGGGAACAGCAATGGCAGTCATGTAAAAATCTTTTTACCGAAGAAGCTGCTTGAATGTCTACCAAAATGTTCAAGTTTACCGAAAGAGAGGCACCGCTGGAACACTAACGAGGTAGTTAAATCTCTTACTTGTTCTTAAATGTACCAGCTTATTTAATGCTTATGGATTGTTTTGTGAGAGCATGCCATGCAAGTTACAGGATATGAATTTCCTGGCTCTGGAACCTGTTCCATAAATAATAAGTCATACATATTGAAAGTAAGCTTTAAGTGAGACTTGAAGGCAAATGTGGAAGTTGACTTCTGTTTTAGACTTCTAGGAGTCTATTGCTCATGTGTGTGACTTGTCTCAGAGTCAAATTTCACATCACCTTAATGACCTGTTTCAAAGTGGTTTAAAATTAGATAGGTATGTTTGTACCATGATGAATAAAGTATTACTTTCCTGTGCATGAAGACTTCCGAACAGAAAAGTGGTGTATGTTCTTTCCTGCCACACAGGGCCCTGGGAAATAACCAGCTTACCTCTGTCTGAGTCATCTCCTTAAGAATAAGGAAAACACAGAACTGGGTGTTTCCTACTGGAATCCAGTTACTCTTGAGTATTCTGGTTCACAGATAACCTGTTACTGCATTATGGTTGGGGTAATTTAAATAAAAAAGAAGTATTTGAAATTCTTTGGGCCAAGGTGAAGTTAAAGAACAACCAGGTAGCTCTACAATCCCTAGGCTTTATTCCAGCTGTGCAGCAATGATGAATGCCCCATGGCAATACCCACAGTGTGAGTTTTAGTTTTTAGTAGCTCTGTCTTAGTGTAGCTTTGCCATATTTATGGGACTCACTTAATAATAGAGGAAATCCACTTGGAGAAATGACTGTAAAACTCCAGTTAGTGTCTTGCTTGTTGAGAGCTGATTGGTCCTGTTCCTCTGATCCCTCGTTTGTAGATCTAAACTTGTTAACAGAGCCTGTGCTCATGAGTTTAGCACCTGCAAGTGGCAGCTGAGTGCAGGATCAAACACAGCTCACTTCTGTGTATGTTTGCTGAGCGTAGAATCAATCACAGAGCAGTGACTGTGTGTATTTTTCAAAATTGGAGTCCTTACCCCTCTTCCTTTTGGTGTCTGGAAGTTACAGTCAGGTATTTATTTTTAACATACCCAGTACTGTGATAGAATGAATCAGGTCTTCAGGGCAGTTGCTGGCCTTGGCTTTTTTGTGTAGATGTTTTTGTTTTGGGTCATTGGAATTGAAATGTAAATCGTAGAAAATGTGGGTTGTTGTTTATTCTGTGATAGTGTTTGTATTAATGGGGACAGGGCATGGAGCAGTGGCAATTCCAGTGGCTCTGACAGATGATGTTTGGACAAACACAGCTAGGGGCAAGCAAGCTGTGCACAGGTTTGTGACAGAATGATGCTCTTCCCTCTTACAGGAAAGAGCTGCTTGGCATGGGGTTTAGTCACTAATGTTGCTGCTGTCCCCAGTGCAGAACTTTGTGCACACACGGCTTTGGGTAGGATTGGTGTGTGGAGCTTCCTATGAGTACAGGATGTGGCAAAGTTCATTATGCAGCTGAAAACTGTTATTATTCATGAGCAGAAGCAGGAATGTGCAGGTGCTTGGTGTGGTGTATTAGGTTAGGAGGAGAATTCGGGAGCATGGCTGTTCTCCTAAGGGTCGTGTCAGTGTTTTGGGGAGCAGGGAGTGAGCGATTCTGCCAGTGCTCGCCAGTGCAATGCTGGGGTGGGATTGTCTGGTGCTGTAATTCTGGATGGATTGTTTGCTGATAGACACAGGCTGGGACGTTAAACCCAGACTCAGCCCCTGTTGGTCTTATTGGATGTCAGATTCCTCGCTCATTTGTATGCCCTCTCTCTTCACAAATCTCTCACTGAGGTGTTATGCCATGAGGATGTGTAGCTGGCTCTGTCCATGGGCTGTAGCTTGTGCTGACTCTGCCAGCCTGTGTGGTGTGGTGTGGCTGGTGCAGTATCCCTGTTGCATGATTTAAATGAAATAGCTTTTCTTGTGGCCAGAGATTTTTTGGCCCCATTAGCTCAGAGGGGGGGAAAAAATAGAAAAAGCCAGAGTCTTATGCCTAGATGAAGTCTTGGAAATTTGTGTTAATTATGGGGGAGGAAGGAGCTGAGCTTCCAGATTTTACTGCCTTCCCCACCCCCAATCTGAAAGTTTAATTCTGTGCACTGTTATAAAACTTGAAATTTTCTTAGGGTATAATTGAATAATAATGTTGGACTACATTCTGGAGGCATTCCTAAGGGAATAAATTTTTTCATCTGAGTACACAGGTGTTCTGCCTGTGCTTGTGAAGACAGAAGTTGTAAAGTAGAGAAGAAAAAGTTGTATTTTATACAGTGATATTTCCAGAATTTTTGTACTGATTCTGACCACAGAATCCCTGGTCCTGTGCGTGAGGTGTCTCCTGGACAGGGACGTTTAGTAAAAGATTGAAAAGAAATTAAATGCCTAAACAACTTACATATCTGAATGCATGTGACAATGCTGTCCTCCCTCAAATGGTGTGTGTTGGGCAGTCACGGGTGTCGAGTCTCTCCACGAGCTGCAGAGTGTGAGTGTAGCAGACACTGGGTTCTTTCCCAGGGGTAGTGGGGGCCAAACCCTCTGACGCAGCTGAGACCCGACTCCTAAACGTTCCCTTTTGCGCTCTTTTGCACGGGGATGGTTCAAGGAAATTTGAACGCAGCTGTTGCCTGTCTCTTGTGGCCCTGAAGCCCAGCACACAGGTGTTCCCAGCTGTGGGGGTGGTGGGCAGCAGGATGAGCATGTGCAGTCACTGGGGCTGCTGGTGCAGAGGTCAGGGAGCAGCCAGGGTAGAGCATCGCCATGGGAACACCGCAAATAGCTTTTCCTGAGCACTTCGTCTGCAGCCTGAGAATGATGGTCAGATGTTACTCAGGATTGGGTGGTTGGGAGGAAGAAATTGTGTCCTCTGAGAGCTGGGTGGGCTGTGGATGACTCTACATGTAGTAAAATCACGTGATGAGCAGCGAGAGAAATGGAGCGCTTAAAAATGCTTCAAACATATTATTGAGGTGCTTGCTTTCCATCGGATCGTGTGTTTGCAACTGAAATGTTTGATGGAAATACATTTCCATACCAAGATGTCATCTTGTCTTAAATCAAGTTTATAGCGGTTTTTATATTTGCTACTGAAGGAAGTGTTCCGTCTAATTCAATTTTTTTTACCAGAGATAGAAAATCTTAAGTTAAGCCTAGCAATTTAATTACAGATTTACATTTTTGAAATGCCTGTAAAGGTGCATTGTGCTTATTTCTCCAGCTCTGGGAGAGGATAGAGACGGGGCTTTCATATTATTTCTCACATTAAGACAAATGAGTTAGTTGCGAGAAACTTCTGCAGTGCTTTGTGCTTGTGAGGGAGTTCCTCACTCTAAGGGTTTAGTTGTTCACTATGAACCATTTTATGGTTTGTGAAATGCAGATCCAGTTTGGTTTCAGTGAGTGGATGGAGCAAAGGCTTCTGGCTCGGCATGCTGGCAGTGCGCCTTGAAGGAGAATTTTGGGAACACTGGATCTCGGCTCTCTTCCATGGGAGCAGGGCTGGGTTCTCAAAGCAGGGCTGCACAGAGCCACCCTCCAGGTGCCCCAGCTGAACTCGTGTCCCGTGGTGAAGGTGGTGCCTCCTCGTTACCCGTTGGTCACTTTGGGCAGCAAGATATGTTGTCTGCAGGAGATACTTCCCGCTGCTTTCCGTCTGGGAAGTGGGAGCTTCCCGGGGTGCTGGGCTCAAGGATGTTGGAGTAACCTTGTCTCTGCACAGCGCTTGCCAGACACCGGATTGCAGCTCTGAACAGAGATGCCGTTCGTTAACAGTTGGCAGCCGCAGTCATTAATCATCCTTGTAAACACTTAATGACACGGTGCGAGAAGGAAGAAAAAGTTAAACATTGGAAATGTAAAATGCTATCTTGGGCTTTGGTTCCAATAGGATTCTCTATTTACAGTCTGTTGGGAGAAGCCCAGAACTTCCGTGGTAGAAAAAGCCAGCAGCAATTGCTCCATGTGCTTAGGCTTGTCTGGAGGGGCATGGCAGAACTGCCCTGCTCTCTAGAGTCAGCCAGAATCCACATTTTTCAGATTCCAGGCTCAGGTGCTGCTTGGGAGAGTATTCAAATAATGCAATTATGAAACTGTATTTGAGCATTATTTAGCATAGGAAGAAACCCTCTGCCTCTGCTGCCTGGGGGCCCGAGTCGCGTGTTCACTGACATCTCGATGTGCTCTGGCGTCCTTGCTGTGCTCGCATGACAGTGACATTCTCCTTTTCACTTGACAACGAGTTATTTGCCGTCTTTTCTCTAAAGCACAGAGAAGATCTTGAAGGTTTGGAGAATTGCCTGAGGGACGTGAGGGACCCAGACTGATAGGGGGAGCGAGTCTGGAGCCTTGGGGCTGGCTGTGATGCTCTGAAATGCTGGCAGGAGGGAGTGAAAGCAATACTCTTGCTGCCTGCTCCTCCAGCTCCCCTCGGCTGCCGGCAGCTGAGTGTCGGGCAGCTGGTCACCGCACGGCTCCTGTCGCCACACGTTTGTACATTGAAACCCTGCTCTGCTGCAGACCCGGCAGCAGGGCTATTGCTTTTTGGTTTTTTTTTTCTTTTTTTTTCTTTTAGTGTTTCTAAGTGCCTTTTAGAATTGACTCTTACATCAGAAAAGTTAAAAAACCTCCTTGTTTTAAGGCTGCCCAGGACTGTGCGGTGTATTGTAACTCTGCACTGCATGTTCCAGTCCATTCCTTATTCACCATAGTAGCTGAATGTGTTACAAATATGTGGTGTTGAGCAGGTGTATGGGACCAGTTTCTGTTTCTCAGCTGGAACAGGGAAGGGTTTTGTTGGTCTAGGTCACAGTGTCCCCTAAAGATGGCAAAACTGTGGAAAAGGAGCAGTGTTCAGTACAGCTCCCTATGGACTCTGAAGTCCAGCATATTTTTTTAAATGCCTTACATCAGTTCATTCAGATATGTTCAGCTGGAGCTCAGGGTTCCCAAAGCCAGAGGCTGCTGGCAGCTGTTGGGAGAACCCTGTGCCTGCTTAGGGACACTCC